AATAAGAAACAGGATAATTCCAATGTTATCACACTGGTATAGTTAGTATGTGCAGCAGTAGTATAGGAAATGAAAAAAATATAATCCCCAGATTTATTGATAAAGCAGTGAACTCAGGAAATTCTTCAGTAATTCAAGTTTAAAATATAACAAATCAGAACATCAGTCATATTAGCACCACTCTCTCACCCCATCACTTGACACCACATCCTTGGGAGCAATAATTAACACTGCATTCCTTCTCCATAGGCTCTCCAAAAAAGTAGGTCTGCACTGCCTTTCAGAATACTAACAGGGGCAGGGCTGATTCCAGACTGCCACAGAAAGGTGTGCCCTTGGGATCGTGGTATCAACTTTCCCTTGGAGTATGCGTAGCAAGTTCTTCAACGAATGGGCAGTTTCCATGTGAAGTAGGTGGTCTCAAAAATATCCACATCTTAAGCCACAGAGGGCTTTATAGATAACAACAAGCACCTTGAATTGCACCCAGAAGCCTACTGGTAACCAGCACAGCTCGTGAAATAGAGGTGTTACGTGGGCAAAACAAAGTGAACCCATTACTACCTAGGCTGCTACATTCCGGATCAGCTTTCAAATGATCTTCAAGGATATAACCAACTACAGTGAAATGTAGTAAACCTGGTGTGAGATGATAAGGACATGAGTGAATGTCCTTATAACTTCCCATTTCGGAAACAGTAACAACTGGGTTGTTCACGGGCCCTCCCGGCTACCACCTCCACCTATTTCTGAGCACAAGCTGAAGTCCAAGGGGAGCCTCAGACTAAGGATCTGCCCACGCAGGGCGCAGCACGCAGAGTGTTATTCTTAATAAGCAGCTCTTAATACAGAATATACACTGCAATATATACTCTGAACAGAGATCATAAATGCAAAAAGGACCAAATTATAGAATGGGAGAAATACCAAATATACTTGTTTTTTTAGGATTTTAGGTTCCAAAACACACTCAAAAAAATTGGGCTCAGCTTATCCATGGATGGGCTTAAGTGCAAGAATATACAGTAATACTTTTTTATATACTTGCATATAAGCCAGCCCTCACATTACCATGACAAATGTGCCACCTGTGGATAAGCCAATTGTGAAAATTAAAACATACAAAAATTTTGAGGGTCAGCTTATCCAAAGGTGGCGCATTTTTTAAAAGTTTAAGCTTATCTGATGGGCTTATACGCAATTACATACAGTAACAGAAATTTCATTTTGACTTTCTTGCCATTCACAAAGTAAACATGAACCAAATTTATGTACTAATACAGAAACCTGAATGGCACCAACTTAGGGAAAGCTGCACTAACACAACAAAGGAGAAAAGTAAGCTTTCCCTTGCGTTTGAAAGATGCTGCTTGCTTCAAGATCTCTCTCTCTCTCTCTCTCTCT